CACACCAGAGTTGCGCCAGTGACTTCTGCACCGGGCGGGCGGGTGGGCCAAAAGCTGAGCATCTCAGTCGCTACTCACTGCAGCTAGGGATAAGAAGCATCCCTCCGCCTTGTTCGTCCGCTCGTTCGAAGTGTCCCGTGTGCTGCCGGCCTGCGCTCGAGCTGCTATGCAGCTGGGAAAAAGGTCGGCCGAGGAATGCCCAACATTTAAATGTCGAGCTCAAAGTTGAAGCACACCAGAGTTGCGCCAGTGACTTCCACCTCTCCCTTACTGCGTAGCACCGGAAAGCGAGCACAGGACCGCATCACAAGCGGAATCAAAGGCAGCTATGCGGTAGCGAGCTTGTGTGCCCAGTTCCGTCAGGAGCAACTGGGCCGCCACCTCCTGCAGATAATACTCCAAGGTTCGGACGCGGGCCCATCGGCCGCGCCACGCCAACCACTGCACGTTCTCTGTAGCCTGGTAGAAAAAGGTAGCTCCTGAGCCTCGAAGAACTCCAGGAGTCGCTCCCTTGACGATTGCCCGACACGGGATGCCCAGAAATTGAAGGCCAGCATCCCACAGCTTGCGAAAGGAATGCATCGAGCCAGCAAAAAGGCGCTCATGCGGAGCGAGCTGCCCAAATAAAGCTTCCAAAATGCGAATCGCGATTGGGTCGTCGATCTTACCATGCTGACGTCGAGCGAATCTTTGTGTCTTAGGCTTACGTAAGTGAACGTACAAGGCACGAGTATGCCCGAGGGCATCGGAGGGGAAGACCAAGTCCTTGCGGAGGAGCTGTACCATCTCCGTCGGGTGGAGCATCGCCAAGAAGCCAACGAGCACCAAACCAGACCAGCGCAACCAGCCCCACAGAGCTGTGACGCAGAGCAGCGCGCGGACGGCCGCTGCGGGAAGTACCGGACGGCACTCTCCGGGCTCAATGTCCTGCCACTTCTTATCTACCTGCCAAGCTGCGCTGAGGCGGTTGCGGTAAGATGGACAACGGTTCTGAATGGCCGTAATCGCATACACAAGCAAGTATCTTGGGTGACCCTCGGCATACAAATGAAGTCCGAATCCTCTAAGTGCAAGCTCAGCCCCTTCGTTGGTGCTTAAGGCTTGCTCCAGGCTCAGGTGGGCAACCTCGAGTAGCCAAAGCTCCAGAGCTTCGAGAGCTTTGCGCATCTTATGCATCGTGCTGGGCGCAAAGCCTTGCTCAAGGTCAAGGGGTCCTCTGGGGGTCTTCACAGCGATGCGAGGGCCAGGATTCCGCTCGATATCGCCACCCAGCAGGAGCAGAAATCTCAGCCAACGAGCTGGGATTTTCTTGAGGCAAGAAGCTTCGACGACTAAGTCGAAAGAGCGCCAGTCGCCGGCTAGAAGCTGCTGCAACCATCGTGGGACCTGCCGAGTTGGAGCAAGCACGGCCCGGTCTCTAGAAGGCTCGTCAGCTCGGTTGTCAGCCGACCTACAATGTAGCAAACCCGGGTAAATCCCAGACCCGATGATGTAACCAAGGGACCCGCTAAGCACCCGCGAAATGGCAAAACTGGAAGACCTACCTTTCGCAGCTGCACCAATGGTGACTCGGGAGTCTAGCAATGCAACGGCTCGCTGAGGGGAAGGGGTCTTAGCTAAGGATTTAACCCAACTTTTAAACACCCTAGCCTCATTGACATTGATGTGACCTGGATGCTTGAAGTTGTATCTGAAGAGTTCCCTGAAGTGCAGTGACGAACAAATCTCAGAAATCCATTCGGGATCCTCGTGCCACTCCCGGCGCGGGTATGGCTCGCAGGCCGGTGCGCGGCAAGCAGAGTTTGGATCCACAGTGATCCCGAAGCGAGTTTGTGTGGCGGCAACCGCCTCCTGTGGCAAGGGCTCCCACGCACCCGTTCGGGCGGCAAACGACCCTGAAGCAAGTCTCCTAGCAAGTGGCAGAGGCAACGCAGAGGCAAACGACTTAATAGAATCGCCAACCCTAGGCTCGACCCCATAAACCGAAAGACAATCGGGCCTACACCTAGCCTTAAACGACAGGGCCGCCGCCTCGTCAAAGCGAGCCCCCGCAGCCGAGAAGTGCTGTCCGCGGTCGCAGCTGCAGCCGCCTTGTAAGCGTGCGACCCAGGGTTTGTTATGCAACCAGAGGACTCTTTTGCGGAACGGTGAGCCGAAGTTGCAAAAGCAAAAAGTGGTAAGAACACATCCTATCTGAGCAAGGGTGCGAAAGCAGTGCATGTATATCAGCTTTGAACCTGCAGGCAACTGTACCGACACGTACTGCCCACAGCTGAGCGCGGTGGCCAAAATCCAGACCGCGACCCGGGCCAAACGGTTGTCGGCAGCTGTTTCCTTTTCGCAGCCGCTCACGCCAGCAGGCATGAAGGCAGTGCGCCGCCGAGGGCGCTTCAAAGGGCTGTCGGTGAAGCAAGTCAGCGAGATATGCCACTCACGTACGACTCGGCGAGCCGCCAGACCGATCAGATCGCGTGCAACAGTTTTGCCCGACAAATCGGCCAACAGCGAGGCTCCATTGCTTGAACATGAAAGCGGGTGCAAGGTTAGACCGAAGCTACCGAGAGTCTGAGCCCAAGACCCTGAACCTCCTAACTCGATGCAGTCGTAAAGGCAACCCTCCTGTAGTGGACGACTTAACGAGACGGGTCTGCGAACAGTCTGAGCAGGAAACTGACAAGTCTCCCCAGGGTCGCCAAAACGATCCTCGCCAACATGTTCAATCCCATGCTCGGCCAACGTAGCTGCAGCAGGAGATGCCAGGCGAGTGTAGTAACCCCTCTGCTCTGCATGCCGCCAAAGTTCAGACGCAGCAGCACAGCCTACGGTCGTGGTGCAAATAGCACCAGCCCAGGGACTTGCGTCAAGTGCGTAAAGGCTCGGATTGTAAGGGGCCCGCAAATCGGCCTGCCCTAAACCCCCTAGAAAGCTCAAGAGGAAGAGCTCATTACGGGCTTGAGGGGAAAGCGCGAAAACTTCAGTCCTTTTGAGACCTGCCCCGTCTCGGAAGAGAGCCTCAATAATACAGAAGAGTGGCCTCCGAAATAAGAGCACGTGCACCCATGAACCCACTAAGCTGTCCAGCAGCTCAGGCGAAGCCGCCCCACAATGAGCAATCCAACTCGAAATGAAGCTTAAGGCTAAAACCCTATCCCTGGGAGCAGAGACGACCCCAGCGACGCCATCAAGCTCGGCACCCAAAACGACTCCTGACGTCAAGCCCTTTTTGTCCTTCTTCACGTTACGGTGAAGGCCCACACTCTCGTAAGCGGAGCAAGACAGTTCGAAGACTTGTGAGTCACGAGCGTGGTGTTCGGGGCTAATGGCTGAAAGTGGCAGCTGCAAAGAGATATGATCATCAATAGCCAAAGCTTCAACATGAGAAGTGCGTGGGACTGGAGCGCGATATCTTAAAACTTCGCTCTCTAGCATAGACCCACAAGTCTGTTGCAAAAGACCAGTGTGTGCAGATTGCGCGACTTCCACTGACAACGCGTCCCCCATTGCCATGGTACCTAAACCTATCATCAGCGGTTCTTTAAGACCCGAATCCACAGAGGAGCAACCAGCAAGGTCGGCGTGACTAAAACGAGCCCGAAACCTATTCCGCAAAGCCCTGGCCTTTGATATGCGGAAGCTATGGTAGAAGTCGGACAAGTCCGCTGCATAGAACCTCCACCCCTCGTGAGGCTCGGCATGCAACAGCGTCAACATCCAGCCTGGAGTCAAAGCTTTAGCTGCGTTAGAGTAACGGAAGGATCGGGCATTGACAACAGTTGGATTCATAATTAACCTATCCCACTCGTTATCTTTACGAATGCTAAACAAGCCAATCTCCTCATCTCTAGGAAGATGAGCTGCTTCTGACTCTTCGAACACAGCTAAGGCCTGATGTTGATCAAGCAGCCGAGCTAATGCAAGCAATTCGTTCCTGTCGGCGTGCACGAGTGCCGGCCGAGTGGCAGGCCAGGCTTCGCGTGGCATGCGTAGGAGTTCTGGGTCGAGATAGGCTTCTTTGAGGAACCGGTCGCTGATGAATGGCAAAGGATTGAAATCAGGAGAATGTTTCCACTTAATGCGAGAAGCAGTGACTTTTAAGCTAGTCAACCCAGCAAGGGTCGTGGTACAGCGAACAAGCCCTGCGGCACCAGAAACTGGATCAGGGCCCAGGGCCTGGGACCTGTGTTTATTCTGATGCGAGATGAGATTGGGATCGACAGCTACAGGTCCCGCAGGGCAACCAGCAGACGAAGACGTGCCCTTTGCATGACCATACTTATCGAACCCCTCAAACATGCCCTGAACTAATTCAGCAACGGAGTCCACATCCGCAAACCCGGGGTCGAGCTTGGGCAGTTCTCGAACGATGCTACAAAAAGATGCAAACTTTGGCCCACAACGGCCAAGCGCCTCAGGCAAAAAGCTAGGGCAGCGCAGGTAGCGCGTGACTAGCCCTTCCAAGTGATCAATAACTTTGTGCTGCTGCAAGGAGATCGGGGCACCGAGCTTAGCGCTAGGCGGGCAGCTCTTAGGGTATCCTAAGGTCTTCCAGTTGAGACTGCAAATAATCACCTGGAGAAGCCGAGCACGGGTGCTGTGAAACAGCCGCTTACGCTTGGCCCTTTGGTTGCGAGCTCGGCCGTGCCATCGCCACTGGGGTGGGGGTATCGGCCATAAGTCACTCTGGGGAGCAACTTGCATGGGGCGGACGGGGTCCCTAAGGGAGGCCCTAACGAAACAACTAAGACCCGAAAAAGAGCTAAAGAAAAACCCGAGGGTCTGGGAAACTAATTTGCAAGGCTCAAGAAGTGTGTCACTAGTCGGGTCAAAATCTGGCAGTGAGGCCGCGCCGGCATCACCAACCGAAGCACCACTTGCGGGACGCAATTCGGCAGGCAAACCCGACCCTTTACAAACCTCAGTGTCCTCACCACCAGACCCCGACCCCTCCAAACGGCCCTGCCTCATGCACTTGTCAAAGCTTTCGCCTTGGGCTTGCGCCGCGGCTTCCATGTTGAAGCGGCGGCTGTTTCGGGATCGGCCTCCTCGGTCGAGGACCGGCGCTGTGCATCCTTGCCCAGATTGGACATCCTCGTCTCCAGATAATCTAAATCTCGTAGGTAGGCGATATTGCCTGCAATCCAGGACGGATGAGCCAAACTGCTGAACGGTTTGACTCCGCTCCGGCGGGTATTGAGCCACATCGCTGGAGGAGGCTCTGCAAAACCGCCTAGCAGCCAGGCGAGCTGCAGCCGCCCTCCGTCGAGGGAAGCCTGCTCGCAGAGCATGGCCAGACGAGCTGCAAAACCCTGGAGCTGCCTGTTCTGCAGGCGGTGCCCGAGTTCCCATCCCTCGGCGGCAAAACTGGCTATGTACCCTAGAGTCTTTAGGTTGGCCAGAGGCATCCGACGCTCGACGAACAGCTTCAGGAGATTTGGTTCGGCTGAGTCTAGCCCTAATTCCCTTAGAGCGTTCGTCTGGGCAATGTCTGCGACTCGCTCCAGGTCTTGCACTTGACGCAGAAACGCATCGCGAGCCATGCAGCCTCGCACGCCTGAGCTCTCGCCGCTTCCGCTGGCCGAGCCGCTTCCGAGGGCGGCAGCCACGGAGTCCAAGCTCCGCTGGGGAGCAAGCCGTTCCATCATCAATTTTGTCTGCTCGAGCTGCGCAGCCAGGATCTGGTGCAACGGATTCTCCGAGGTAGCCTCCGCGAATGGGTCCTCCGCCTCGGCCGCCGGCAACACCTCGAGCTCGGTCTCGCGATGGATGGTGTCTCCAGCGCGCAGCGCTGGAGGAGCAGCGGCTGCCTTTGGAACACGCTTGGGCGCAGGGCCCGCCAAGGAACGAAGTCGAGCAAGCCCGTCGGCATCCAACCCCCCGGCAGGAGGAGCGCGTAGTAAACTGGGACCCCCCAAACCCGGGGCAGGAGTAGGCGCGACGCCCGCTCCCACTCTTGACTCCAACTGCTGCAGCCGAGTTAGCAGCTCTGTCACGCTTGCCTGGGCGGGTTCCAGCTCGGGCGCCTCCTCGTCGGCGACGGCCTCTTCTCCGGCAAACTCCTCGGCGGTCAGGTACTCGGCAGCGGTCTCGGCGTCCATGACATTCCGAATCCAAATCGCCGCGGCGGACAAAGCACTGGTAGTGCGAGGCCTCCCGGAAGTAGAACCGACGTTGAACGGGAGCACTCGCACTTCGCGAGCTAGAGCGCCCCTTGCGGGATGAACTGCGGTGAAGGCCCCGACCCCTTCCCAGGGAATATCGGCCATCACAACGGTCATCGTCCCCAAGCTGCGGCCACGAACGGTCTCCATCTCGACTTGAGCTTCGGAGTCCAAGACCACTGGGTCGCCGTCCTCGGAGACAATGTTGAGCAAGCCCTCGGTGATGCGCTCGTCCACGGGGAGGATCACTAAGAACCCTCCGGGCCGGGTCTTCACCAAGGCGGCTCGTGCCAAGCGAGCTTGCTCGTCGTCGCCATCGGAGCTCAAGAACAGGTGCAGGGTTGGTAACGGGCGGTCGGGTTGCAAGCTGCCCTGCCAAACGCTCCACAGCGTCTCGGGTGCATGGGGTCCTCATCGGGACTCCGGCCATTGTCGCCCGGCTCCTCGAAGATATGCCTCACCTTCTGCTCGAGAGGCGAAGGCGTGGCTGATTGTGTCGTCGTAGAAGATATGCCCGGGGCCGAAGACGGCTCCTCGATACACCTCGTAATCCGAAGTCCAGAAACCCGAAGGGAACTGAGGACACCGAAGTACAATGTACAAGCTGTTGCGGAACGGAACTGAAGGGGAGCTCTGCACGTGGGTTTGCAGCCCTGCTAGTTTCTGCTGAGCCGTGAGACCAGCCCGAAAGGCTCTGGCAATCCTGGCCGCCGGGGTCCAAGTTGAGTGCCTGGCACGGAGCTGGCGCACTAGATCACTGAGTTCCGGAAGCGGGTACGCCGCAAGGTCTCCTGCGGAAGATAACTCGAGTAATGGATGTTCGGCGCGAGGTTGAGCGCTGGCGGAAGCCGAAGGAGCTGAAACCACTGAATAACCGGAATCCTCCACCTGAACAGTGGGCAAAGTCCGACCTCGAATGGCAACCTCAAGGGCCCCGATTCTCACTGTGATTTCCTCGATGTCGTCCTCGAGCCTCCTCTCACTCATGCACGGTGCAGCTGGTACTGTGCAAGCCTCTCCCGAGCCTGCGCCCGATTGATCCCTTGAGGAGTGACGTAAGCACTCACCAAGGATCCTGCTCCAATCCAGAAAGCTCGCCGGAGGGGAGGCAGAGTACAGATGCCAGTCAACAGAGCCCCACAGCAGCAGCCGCAGCAGAAGAGAATGAGCCCCAGAAAAAGCAAAAAGCCCCAAGGGCAATTATAGCAGAACCCGGAAGGGAAAGATCGTTGGGCGAAATCGGCACCGAATGCAAGGATGCTAGGCAACCACTCACGCATGTGGGGCTCGATCCCAAAAGCTGAGCATCTCAGTCGCTACTCACTGCAGCTAGGGATAAGAAGCAAACCCTAAACCCATTGAACAAGCCGGACCGA